CGGAAGTTTAAAACAGGACATTGCAACACACCACAACACACTTACATCCTGCTCACAATGTCTTCTGGGTTTCTGACTCATTTAGAGTAAGAATCTAGAACATCTAGAACTCATCTAGAACACATCAAAGGCGCTACCCATATTTTCATCCCTGGTCCATGCCTTCTTTCAGAATTCCTGACAAATTGTCTATCAGGGAAAGAAAATATTTCTGCAAAAGAAACTCAGAGTATTGTGAAAGGATCAGAGAAAAGAGCAGCTGCAGCCTCTCACAACAAACTTCCTTCATTTCCCCAAACAGAAAAGTTACCCTATTTCTATGTGCGTACAGCAGCTTTATTACTCATTTAACTACAGAGAATAATAGTTTGAAGCAGTTGAGATCCAACAGGTCTGCCCCATTTCTTGTCTTTCTTTGTCTCATCAGTGATTGACTTCAAAGCAGACTTTCACTGTAGGTTTGCCAGTGAGGAGAGCAGTTTGCTGCCAAGCCAAGAGAAGCACAAGAAGATTGCAAAGTGATGCTTTCCGGAGGTGCATTCGCAGGAGTGATCTGGTCTTTCATTGATGTTCTGTGCCTCTCTCAACACTGAGGTTGCTCGGCCATCGTTGCTTTCCTGATGATTTCAGCCAGATACCCTCTCACACTCACAGAGTTGGCTCACTTGACTCACACATCTCAACTCTTTGGAGCATGGGCAGAGGAAGAGAAAAGCATCCTGGTCACCTAACTGCAACTTTCCTGTAGTCTGTCAGCAAAGGATTTTCCTGTTTTGTTCCTTTCAATCCCACAGACTCCTGATTTAGACTCCTTTTGAAGAGGAGCTGTTCTAGTCAGTACTTGTGTACAGGTTTTACCCTACCTCAGGCATGCCAGTATTGAGTATATGCAACCCCTGAGAGTTTAATTCCAGTCCTGTCAGAATGGCTTCTCTCTGTCTCCTTTCTGTGGTGGATAAGAAGTTGAAGGGCACTTGCATCCTGCACAGCATGAGGACTGGAGGAGCAGGGGAAGGGAAGAGTTTATTCCATCTCCTCTGAACAGAGGGCACACCTGGAATCCTGCATCTGTTTCAGATGCCCTATAAAAAGGACAATGTGACTGAAATGGTGGAGCCCCATACAGGCCACTGGATGGCACAGGAGCATCCCATGAGCCAGGAGAGTCTGAGGGGCCTGGTCCTGTTCAGCCTGCAGAAGACAAGGCTCCTCTTATCCGAGGCGCTCAGCAAAGGACAGCTAGAAAGAGCCTTAGATGGCAGCAGGGAAACTCAGACATAAAAAATGAATAAAAACTCATGCCAAGAATTGCTCAGCACGGACAGAAAGGTCAGAGACCCTGGGGAGTCTCCACCCTTGCAGTTTTGCAAAAATCACTTGAGGATGGCGGTGAGTAACCTTCTTTCCTTGTCTCTGCTGTGAGGAAGGCAGTGAAATAGGGAAGTCCCTTCCTGAATAAATCTTTCTGTCAGTAATTCACAGGAAGTTTTCAAAACCCTTTGTCACTTTCTGGCTAATTGCATTTATTGTTCAATTTCCTTGAAAAACTGGCAGCATCAAGTCATGTGTACAAGAACTTGAGGATTACTTGTTGTGTATTTATCAATTACATTTCTCCAACATCAGACGTCCCTCCTAGTTCAGCAGAAGCTGTTACCTACACCCTTGTCATTTGTAATCCCCTCCACTGAAGGGTCAAAGTTGTTCTCCATCTTTACTTCACCCTCCTATTACTGAAAAACTTACAGGAATCCTTTGGTATAAAAAACAGAACAAAGAAAATAAAACAAACAAACAAATAAATGCCGTTTGTAACAGCAGATGGTTCCTGAAACCACCCCATCCATATTTCTCTCCTTGAACATTTCCTTTGCTGTTCTGTAGGATTGCACTCCTCCCTGGGGCAGGGGTAGCTGTGCCTATCACATCCCAAGCACAGTGTATGGACTCCTGGAACAATTGAGGCTGGAAGGAACCTCCAGGGGTTTTGCACTTCCAGCTGCTGCTGAAGGCAGGACAGAGAATGGGCAGATATTGTCCCATGCTGGTGATGAAGCCAGGGCAGAGACAGCAGTCTGGGACAGCAAGGTTTGTTCCTGCACTGCTGTGAAAATATTTCCTGCAGGAGGCTGAGGGAACAGGAAGTGTTGGGAAAGTGGCCAGGGCTGTGTCAGTAGGTGAGAACAGGAGGAGAGAGGCTGCAGGAAGGCACAGGGAGCTGAGAGGGGCACTGAGCCTCAGCACAGGGAACACAGCTTCAGCTGGGCACAGAGGCACAGACACACAGACAGACAGACAGAACTGTCCTCAGGGACCATCCAAAGGGCCCTTGGCAAGCTCCAGCACTGGCACCATGTGCATCTCATTGTAAATTGGCTGCTCTCTCCCAGAGTCATTCGGGACCAATCCATCCAGATCTGGACCCAGGCCCCTGGCAGCCTTTACAAGGATAAAAGCAGAAGACTGGAATCGTTCTTCTCTGCTCAGGGCAAATAATCCCACAGCTTTACTGTGGAAATACTCAAGGGGATCCTTGATGGGGAGGAGTTGGTGTCCCAGGAGAAAAAGAGAAGGAATGCCTAACGAGGGGAGAATTTTACACCTGGGGAAATGAGGGATGGAGGAATAGGACCACAGCCAATGGGACACAATTGAGGAATGTGCCAGGGGGTGAGTAAACCTGGGACAAACTACTACCAGCAAGGACTAGGAGTGGGGAAGACCATGTGATCAGTGCAGATTATCAAACACCTAGTGCAAAAACAAATTAACTAACTATTAAATGCAATAAAACATCTTATGTGGTTCAAAGAGGCCAAGTGCAGCTCCTGTCTGGGACCAGGGCAAGGAAATCAGGGCACACAGCAGGCCAGCAAAGAGGGAGAGGAATCCTGCAGGGCAGAGCTGCCATGGGACAGCTGCCACAGTGCCCAGGTCAGGGCTGCAGCTCTCATCAGGCACTGCTGCAGGAGGGCTGAGATTCTGCTCGTCCAGCTGAACTTGCACAGGACTCACCAGGTCCTGATCTACCTTGTCAATCGTCATTCCTTATCAGGCTATTACAGGTGTGAAAAACAAGGCAGGTTTTCCCATTTGCATGATAGAATTCAAATTAGTGAAAGCATTCTCTTTATGATGAGATTTAGGGCAGTAGAAGACTGCATCATTGCTACAATCACTGCCTTGAGATACAGCCAAGCGTGTGATAGCCAGGTAAAATCTGAAGGTGAGTGTTTGGCCAGAATCAGCAATGATCTACATGCTCACCAAGATATTTTGAGTCAAGCCTGACCCCACTTTTAATGAGCAGGTAAACCCAAAGGAAACAGAATTCTGCAGGAGACATCCAGGAAAAATATTTGGAAGCGGCTGTGGGGACCATTCTCTGGATACACAGAAACATCTCAGCCTGGAAGAGCAATATTTATCTATTCCAAAGATGCACAAAACAGACCCACTGCTGATTGCAAAGGATTCTTTAATGGCAGCAACACAAAATGGATTACAGACAATGGCAGAGGCCACAGTACCACAAGGGCATTGCAATGCAAATTACAATGAAGTCATGCTGGCTCTGCACTGACACTTTCTGTTTCACTTAGCCACACACACAACCTGCAATGCTTCTACATTCCATAGGCCAGGACTCTGGAATGCCAGCTGAGGGTACAACAGGTTTCACACATGTGGCATTGCCTCCTCTAGCTTGGACACTCTCATATGATCAAGCCTGATGATTCTTGCATTGGTGGGGTGGGAGCAGCGTGCAAGGCAGGAAGGAGAAGTGCTGCTCTGCAGTGCAGCAGAGCAGAGAGCGCTGACATTCGGTGGTCCTGGGACACTGGGGGAAAAGGCAGCACCAGCAGAGGCGGAGATCCGGGTATCAAATTTCTGCATCTTTTCTCAGCGCTGCGGGATTTGCATTCTAACAGCCATAGCCAGGGCGCAGGGGACGCAGGAAGGAAAGCTCGTCGTTGAAATTGATTGCCTTGTAATTTGGAAAGTGCTCTTGGGCTCGGGCAAGGTATTGAATTCCACTTCCATCACTGTGCTCACACAGCAGCCAGGCACCTCTCTGGACTTTGTGGGAAGACACGATGTCATTGTCGTGTCCTGCAGCCAGGTTGGTCGCTTCTGTTATTATTCTGCTCTTCCCTTGATAATTAATGTGTTCATAGAGGGTGATCTGGGGATTGTACAGACTTTCAGTGATCACCTGCAGAGAGCTGATCCTGTCATTCATCTTTTTATCTACAGAGTTATATTCTCCCTCCTCAAACACCAGAAATCGACCCTTGTAATCAACATGCTCATAAGCCACCCAAGGCTGGCCAATTACTTTCACTGAGGAGACAATATCATTCCAATCGACATCTTTTAGATTGGAAATGTCAGTGGTGAATTCTCTGGAGAGGCCCTTGAAGTTGGCATGCTCATAAATGATGATTTTGCCCATCTCTGCAGGACTTCTGAGGCGCAGATTTCTTGCTGTAGGAGCTGGATGGCAGCCTGCACAAAAGGGAGACAGAAAACAAGCAGAGCTTCTGAGAAGACTTTCTACTCTAGACAGAAAATGATGGGAAGTGTGTTGCAGAAAAGGAAAAGTAGAAAGTTTTTAGCAGGATGGAAACATAGCAGCAGCTGGAAAGCAGTGAGAGCGTGACAGATATTTCAGTTTAGAGGGAAAACATAAAACAAGACGTGCCCACAGCTACTCAGTTCAAATTAGTTGTGGGTGGTGGTTTAGGTGCATGCCCAAGAAGAAGTTGTAAATGCTCTCCCAGTCCCCCCCACAACTGTGTATCAGTGGCCCCCTCCAGGCTGTCCCTGGGTGAGGTTTGTCTCTCCTGCAGCAGCCATCCATCTCCTCATGCCCTGAGAGATGGCTTCAGTCTCTGCACATGCACACAGCAGAGCCTCACGGCTGTGCTGCAGCTCTCAGCCCAGCACAAAAGCCTCCTGCCCTTGCCCTACACTT